ACAGTCAGTTACCTACAAGGGAGTACCCATATGACTGTGAGCTGATTTCTCAACAGAAACTATGCAGGCCAGAAGGGAGTGGCAAGAAATATTCAAAGTGATGAATAGCAAGAACCTACAACCAAGATTACTCTACGCAGCAAAGCTATCATTCAGAATTGAAGGTTAGATAAAGAGCTTCACAGATAAGAAAAAGCTAAAGGAGTTCATTACCACCAAACCAGTATTATATGAAATGCTGAAAGGTATCCTTCAAGAAGAGGAAGAAGAAGAAAAAGGTAAGATACAAATTATGAACAACAAATACACATCTATCAACAAGTGAATCTAAAAATCAATTGAATAAATAATCTTATGAACAGAATAAACTGGTGATTATAATAGAATCAGGGGCATAGAAAGGGAGTGGACTGACTATTCTCAGGGGGGAAAGGGGTGTGGGGGTGCGGGAAGAGACTGGACAAAAATCGTACACCTATGGATGAAGACAATGGGGGGGGGTTAGGGCAGAGGGTGGGGTGGGAACCAGGTGAAGGGGAGTTATGGGGGGGAAAAAGAGGAACAACTGTAATAATCTGAACAATAAAGATTTAATTTTAAAAAATTAAAAAATCAGTAAAGAAATATTTTTTTAAAAAAAATGTGGGGAGGAAGGAATATGTAGATTCAGATCTGAACTAAATAAAATAATATAAAGTATTAGGGGATTCGGGGAAGGAAAATGGTTTAAAATAAAGGAGGAAGGAAAGGTCAAAAAAGAAGAGAAAAAATGTCAAAGGAAAATAGAGGAGAATGTAGATAGTCCTAAAATAAGAAAAGGGGGGTGGGGAATGAAAAAACTCAAGACAAGAAATGAGAGAAAGAAAAGAAAAAAAATGAGTAGTGAAAAAAGAGAAAAAAAAATTGAGTAAGAAAATGGAAAAAGAAAATTAGATATAGGAACAAAACAACAGAGACTAGAATAATAACAAATCAGTAAAGCAGATAGATAAAGAAGATTAATTTTAAAAGGGACAAAAAGAAATAAAAGAAAAAAGATAAAACAATGCAGGGATCCTGAGGGTGGGACAGGCTGAATCATCTAGGGTAGTTTTTTTTTTCCTTCCCTGAGGCTACTGGAAGCAGCTAGCTCCTCTCAGGAAAAATGGCTGTTTTGGTTTGAAGGTCTATGACCAAATACTCCTGGCTGCTGCTTTTCCACATCTCCCCACAATGCTTCCCATACTTAGGCACCTTGAGTCTCCGTCTCCCTCCCTGCACCAAAGCCTTGGGTGAGTATCTGCAAATAAAAACTCCTTTGCTCTGAGTTTAAAAAACAAAACAACAATAACAAAAACTGCATCTTTCTCTCCAACTGGTTCTGGTCTACTGCCTCCAGACTCCACCACAACCAGCAACCCTGTGGCCTTTCATGGCTGGTCTCGATTCTGGTGCTCCAGCCTGTGGATCTCAGCCTGTGTTCCAGGCCTCTATCCTCTGAGGGAACTGACCCTCCCATAGCTGGGAGCTCCCTCCTCACTCTTGGCCCATTGGCCTGCCACCTGTGAAAGCTGGGTCAGCTACCCTCATGACCTCACCTTTCCTACCAATCTCCAGGTATTTTCTGTCCTTCCTTGATATAAGTCTCCTCCTCAGCTGGACCTCAGTTAGTAATTCCAGGTGAATGTTGTCCAATTTAGTTGTATTTACAGTCTGGCCCTAGGACGAGGTGCACAATAGTCTGACTATTCAGCCACCATTTTTTCTCCCCCCAGTAGTTCACTCTTAATCTCCTTAATTGCATGCTTCATTTCCAGGATTTCTGATTGGTTCTTTTTTTCTAATATATTTTTATTGATTTCAAAGAGGAAAGAAGAGGGAGAGAGATAGAAATATCAATGATGCCTCCTGCACGCCCCCTACTGGGGATCGAGCCTGTAACCCAGGCATGTGCCCTTGACTGGAATCTAACCCGGGACACTTCAGTCCACAGGTCAATGCTCAACCACTGAGCCACTCCAGCTGAGCCTGATTGGTTCTTTTTAAAGTTTCAATCTCTTTAATAAAGTACTCGTTTTGTTCATTGATTTGTTTTCTGAGTGCACTGAATTGCCCATCTGTATTTTTTTGCATCTGGTTGAGTATTTTCGGAGCTTCAATCTTGAAATCTCTGTCATTTATATCACATATTTCCATGTGTTCCAGCTTGCTTTCTGAGGATTTTTCATTTTCTTTCTGATCATCCTCATTACTGTGGTTATTCATAGTATTTGCTATTCTCCTTTGCCTAGGCATGAATATCTGTCTATATTAATGACCTTCTGTATAGCAGCTTTCTTTGAAGAGGTCTTTCTGCTATTTTCCAGTAGATGGCACTGAATCACAAGATTTTATCTCTGTGATCTTCCAGTCTTGACCTCCACAGCTTCTGTGAAGCAGTACAACCACTCTGATTGGGAGTGGGCTTTGTTTTGCCCTCACTGCAATAGGGATCCATCACAGAGGGAAACAGCAGTTCTACTGCAACAGCTCTTGGTTTACAGATAATATGCTCCTGGACCTGACTCCAAGGTCAATGGGAGGCAAGTTTTGGGAGTCTAAATGACAGCAGGGCTCTGTGGTTCCATTTCTTTGTCTGAAACACCAGCAACCAGCTCAACATTGGAAACTGCATGGCAGAACCTCATGTTCTGTCAGAAGTCTACTGACTCAGACAATGTTTGCTTCCTCACTGCTCACTGTACTGGGCTGCTCCCTGCAGCTCTCTGTTCCTCCTAGTTGAAGGAAGTGCCTGCTGCTGCCAGATTTCTCCTATTCCCAGCCAGGCCACAAGCTTCTGGCTGCAGGGCTGCATCTGTGGACTATCTGTGCTTTCTTCCCTTTTCCTCTCCCCACTTATTCCAGGTTACCCACCTTTAAATATTTCAATGCCCAGATTTCTCAGGCATGTGTCAGTGTTGAGCAGGGATTTGTTTGTTGAATTATAGTTGGTTAACTTGTTGAAATTCAGGAGGAGAAGACAAGGTGCATTATCATGCCGCCATTCCTCTGATGTCACTTTTCAGGAGATTCTTAGCTTTCTTCTGAAGGTTGATTGTCACTTTCCTCCTATGTCACACTTCTAAATATTCTCCAAAGTTCATCTGTAATGCTTTTGTCTATAGTTACCTGATTGTTAAGATGCTATTACTCAACATGATTTAGGACTGACATATTTATTGTTTAGGCAGAGGCAGCTCTTTGAGATAGAAGGCTGACACATTGGCATACCCCAGGATGTATGAGAGTTAATTTTTGCTCTGGAGCATACTTCAGAGAAAATTACCAAGCTGTTAGCCCAGTTGAACAAATCAAAGGGGCAATTTTGAAGCTCATGGGATTCCAGGAATCAGTCTTCAAGGGTAGGTGTGGACCACGGCACTTTGGAGGGGAGCTGGATATAAAAATGTATCAGGTATTGCAAAGACCACTGCTGCGTTTGATGATTCACTAGGAGGACCCACAGCACTCCATATGTAGTTATAATCAGCAAAGAAAAGAGGTATATGTGATGCAGTTCTGAAGAAACCAGGCTTAAGCTTATAAGTGTTCTCTTCCAGTGACTACACAGGATACATTTAATTCCTCTAGCAACAGGTTGTGACATTGGGCAATGTTGTCCGCCAGGGAAGCCCATTTAGAGACTCAACTGGTCACATACCAAAATTGCCAGTTTCCCAGAATAAAAGCAGATGCTCAGCATCAGTCATTGTTTTTATAGCTTAGTCACAGTAACAAAACTATATCTGTTCTGGGACTGATAAGAATCTTTCTGAAATCCAAGTTCCCAGATTCCAGCCAAGCACCAACCTTATAAGCAGGCATTTCTAAGGATAGCACACTCTCAGGCCAGCTATGTGACCCCCTTTTTTATATATTAGGTGACCTAGGTTCAATAAACAATGCAGCCAAGCTATTTCCAAATATTTTAAGATAGACAAATCAATGGAAACTGAGTACAAATTGTCCACCTACTTCCTCAGTTCAATATCAGAAGGCTTCAGGACAAATATAATCATTTAGACTAACATGGAAAGGGGTCATCTAAAGCCCCAGTACATGTGCTTCAGAACTCTGGTAGAATGTTGTACATCTCATACATTTCTGAGTCTGTCATGATGCCCCTGCTTCAGGAGGTTGCTGAGATAGTTCAACACAAGTTGTTGGGTGAATTGCTAATCTGACCTAGGTTGTTGTTTTTTATTTCTTCCTTTTCACCATTTTTCTTTATTCACCCATTACCATTGAGTCCACTCATCAGAACTCCTGACATATGAATAGAGAGGAATATAACCCCATATTATTTTGTGAGACCACTAATCATAATAATAGATTATATTTCTTCTTGAGTTGTATAATATGTCAGGTCCTTAAATGTATCAACTGACTTAATCCTCACAAATAACAATATCATAAATTAGATATTGTTATTGTCCCAGTTTTACAGATGAGAAAACTGAGGCACAGAGAGCATTAGTACAATCTTGAGTTCACCAAAATTAATGAGGCAGGGAGTGATTTAAACCCAACTGGCATGACTCCAAAGCCCACACTCTTTACCACTTCTCTTTTATTGAAGGCCCAGAGTTGTCTTTAAGATAATCTGTTATGTGGACTATATTCTCGTTGGTTCTGTCTCTTATGTTTATTTTCTATATTTTTATTGATTTCATAGAGAGGAAGGGAGAGGGAGAAAGAGATAGAAACATCAATGATGAGAGAGAATCATTGATTGGCTGCCTCCTGCATGCCCCCTACTGTAGATTAAGCCTGAATTCAGGGCATATACCCTAACCAGGGGTTGAACCACATACTCCTGGTTCATGGGTCAACACTCAACCACTGAGCCACAGAGGCCAGGCTGACTCTTATAATTACTGGCCAATTCTCTTTACTTCTTTTATTCGCTGAAGTCTCTGAGTATTTTTTTTTTGCAAAGTAGATTTTTCCCAATAATTATTTTCATCTTTTATCATTTACAGTTATGTCAAGTCATACCTTCTTCCTGACAAATCTAGAAATAATAAGCGCAAGACTAAAATCAGAACTGGCATCAATCCAGAATTCAATGAAACACTAAAAGTAAGTAAATAGTCTCTCACAGTAACTCTAGTGATACTGTTCACAACCTCATTGGTTTAGAAGTAACTACAGAGAATTTGCATGTATATTTTATAAAAGTAGAATTTGAATAAATTAATATAATACTCTTGGCTTTCCTAACAGTTTTTTTTTGGAAAAGAAACAATGTAAACCACTCTTTATTTCTCTGCTGATGCTAAAGTTGAAGCTTAAGTAGAGAAGATCCAGTAAAATTATATCTTCGCTGGCACAAAAAATCTTGTCCAAAAAATATATTTTACCCTTGGGAAAACTGTTTTTTTCTAGTTCCCCACAAAAGGAAGTTTGTCATTGACTTAGCAGGTCATTTTGTACACACTCATTGTTCTGGTAACACGAATATGTGCTGTTTCTTGTTAAGATTTCAGAATTTGGCTAAATACTAGTATAGGCATGTGGTTAATGGATAGTGGAGATACAGAGTTAGATTTGTGGTATATGAGAGAAAGTGACCTAGATAAGTTATGACGCAGGCCTCAATCCTAGAAAAATTACTTTTCCCCATTGGCTTCCATGTAACAACACTGTTTCTCACCCTGGATCAATCTAGACTGGTAAGAAAAATCATGGAGACTAGAATGTAGAGATTATTGTCAGTAACAGGGAAACTTATGCATCTTGTGGACAGAATGATGGATCCAATGTCCAGCATAGCAGGAAGTTGGTGAGGGCATGAGTCAGTGGGGTCATGTGCAGAAACAGGAGGCAATATCAAGGCAGAGAAAAATGAGAATAAATAAATATAGGTTGAGGGTTAATACAGTGACCATAATAGGATAGCAGAGCTGAGACTATAGAGAATAGATAAACAGAGTGATATGGCAAATTCAGGAAGCAGTGAGCCAAGGTTAATCATGTCCGGAACAGCAAGGAATCGGTATAGATGCAAATCCAAGATCAGGAATCAGTTAGTCTGAAGCATGTCCTAGGTGGTAGTTGAATAAAACAAGCAGAAAGCTTGAGGGTGTATGGACATGCGGCCTTGGATAAATTCTACTGGAAAAGGAAAATCTACCTGAGCAATATTTTCTTTCTGTTCTTTCTATATTTACATTTACATATTCATCTCTTCACTTAGACTGGACTTTATGAAGTTCGGTGGTAATAAATGTCTCACTGTCAGTACTTTTCTGGATATGTGAGTTCTCATTATGAATAAAATAAGACAGAGAAGTTGAAGAATTGATATATTAAATTTTAAGCTTATAAAATACATGTCAAAAATAATTAGGCAAATAAAAACCAGGTAAAACTGGAAATGGGACAAACTTCATCCCCTAACACTTTTTTCCCCCTTTATTGAATAAGATATTACAAATGTGTCCTTATCCCCCCAATGTCCCCTCATCCCCCCAATTCTGCCCTCACCCTCACACCCTGTTGTCCATATCCATCACTTATGCTTATATGCATGCATACAAGTCCTTTGGTTGATCTTTCCCCCTCACCCCACCCTCCCCTGCTTTCCCTCTGAGTTTTGAACATCTGATCAATGCTTCTCTGTCTCTACATCTGTTTTTGTTAATTGGTTTACATTGTTAATTATAATCCACAAATGAGTGAGAGCATGTGATATTTATCTTTCTCTGACTTATTTCACTTAGCATAATGCTCTCCAGTGCCATCCATGCTGTTGCAAATGGTAGGAGTTCCTTCCTTTTTACAGCAGCATAATATTCCATTGTGTAGATGTGCCAAAGTTTTTTAATTCATTCATCTTCTGATGGGCACTTAGGCTGATTCCAAATCTTAGCTATTGTAAATTGTGCTGCTATGAACATAGGGATACATATATCCTTTCAGATTGGCGTTTCTGGTTTCTTGGGATATATTCCTAGAAGTGGGATCACTGGGTCAAATGAAAGTTCCATTTTTAGTTTTTTGAGGAAACTCCATACTGTTCTGAACAGTGGCTGCACCAGTTTGCATTCCCACCAGCAGTGAACGAGGGTTCCTTTTTCTCCGCATCCTCGCCAGCATTTGTCATTTGTTGATTTGTTGATGATGGCCATTCTGACAGGTGTGAGATGCTAACTCATTGTCGTTTTGATTTACATCTCTCGGATGATTAGTGACTTTGAGCATGTTTTCATATGTCTCTCAGCCTTATGTATGTCCTCTTTAAAAAAGTGTCTATTTAGGTCCTTTGCCCATTTTTTGATTGGGTTGTTTATCTTCCTTTTGTTAAGTTGTATGAGTTCCCTATAAATGTTGGAGATTAAACCTTTATCGGAGATACATTGGCAAATATGTTCTCCCATGCAGTGGGTTTTCTTGTTGTTTTGTTGATGGTTTCTTTTGCTGTGCAGAAGCTTTTTATTTTGATATAGTCCCATTTGTTTGTTTTTCCTTTAGTTTCCAATGCCCTAGGAGCTGTGTCAGTGAAGAAATTCCTTCGGCATATATCTGAGATTTTGCTACCTGTGAATTCCTCTAATAATCTTATGGTTTCCCGTCTTACGTTTAAGTCCTTTATCCATTTTGAGTTTATTTTTGTGTATGGTGTAAGTTGGTGGTCTAGTTTCATTTTTTCGCATGTGTCTGACCAAATTTCCCAGCACTATTTATTGAAGAGACTGTCTTGACTCCATTGTATGTTCTTGCCTCCTTTGTCAAATATTAATTGAGCATAGTGGTTTGGGTCTATTTCTAGGTTCTCTATTCTATTCAATTGGTCTATATGTCTGTTCTAGTGCCAATACAAGGCAGTTTTGAGAACAGTGGTTTTGTAATACAGCTTGATATCTGGTATTGAGATCCCTCCTACTTTGTTCCTCTTTCCCAGGATCGCAGCAGCTATTCGGGGTCTTTTTTTTATTCCAGATGAATTTTTGGAGAGTTCTTTTTAGATCTGTGAAATATGCTGTTGGTATTTTAATGGGGAGTGCATTGAATCTATAGATTGCTTTGGGTAGTATGGACATTTTGATGATGTTGATTCTACCAATCCATGATCACGGTATGTTCTTTGATCTGTTTATGTCTTCCTCTATCTCTTTTTACAATGTCCTGTAGTTTTCTGGGTAGAGGTCTTTTACCTCCTTGGTTAAGTTTATTCCTCAGTATCTTAATTTTTTTGGTGCAATGGTAAATGGGATTGTTTTTTTAATTTCTCTTTCTGTAAGTTCACTATTGGCGTATAAAAATGCCATAGATTTCTTGGCGTTAATTTTGTATGCTGCTACATTGCCAAATTCATTTATTACATCTAATAAATGAATTTTGATGGAGTCCTTAGGGTTTTCTAAGTACAGTATCATGTCATTAGCAAATAATGGCAATTTTATTTCTTCTTTTCCAATTTGGATGCCTTTTATTTCTTCTTCTTCTCTGATTGCTTTGGCTAGCACTTCCAGTACTATGTCGAACACGAGTGGTGAAAGTGGGCATCCCTGTCTTGTTCCTGTTCTTAAGGGGAATGGTTTTAGTTTTTTCCCATTTAGTATGATGTTGGCTGTAGATTTTTCATATAAGGCTTTTATTATGTTGAGGTATGATCCCTCTATTCCCACTTTGATGAGCGTTTTTATCAGAAAAGGGTGTTGGACTTTGTCAAATGCCTTTTCTGCATCAATCGATATATGATTTTTGTCTCTCAACTTGTTTATGTGATATATCACGTTTATTGATTTGCGGATATGGTGCCAACCTTGCATTCCTGGAATAAATCCTACTTGGTCATGGTGTATGATCTTTCTAATGTAATGCTGGATCCGGTTTGCTAGAATTTTGTTGAGGATTTTAGCATCTATGTTCATCAGGGATATTGGCCTGTAATTCTCTTTCTTTGTGTTGTCTTTATCTGGTTTTGGGATTAGGGTACTGCTGACTTCATAGAAAGAGCTTGGAAGTGTGCCTTCCTCTTGAATTTTTTGGAATAGTCTGAGAAGGATTGGCTTTAGTTCTTCTTTGAATGTTCGGTAAAACTCCCCTGTGAAGCCATCTGGTCCAGGGCTTTTGTTTGCTGGATGCTTTTTGATTACTGTTTCAATTGTTATTGGCCTATTCAGGTTTTTTTATTCTTCCCGGTTGATTTTTGGAAGCTTGTATTTTTCTAGGAATGTGTCCATTTCGTTGAGGTTGTCCAGTTTGTTGGAGGAGAGTTGTTCGTAGTATTTTTTGGCAATCCTTTGTATATCAGTAGGGTCAGTTGTTACTTCACCTCTTTCATTTCTGATTTTATTTATTTGGGCCCTCTCTCTTTGTTTCTTGGTGAGCCTGGCTAGAGGTTCATCAATCTTGTTAATTTTTTCAAAGAACCAGCTCTTGGTTTCATTGATCTTTTGTATAGTTTTTTTTTTGTCTCTATGTTGTTTATTTCTGCTCTGATCTTTATTATTTCCTTCCTTCTGGATACTGTGGGCTTTTCTTGTTGCTTTCTTTCTAACGCTTTGAGTTGTAGGGTTAGATCATTTATTGCCAGTTTTGTTTGTTTGTTTGTTTTTTGAGGTAGGCCTGTAGAGCTATGAACTTCCCTCTCAGGACTGCTTTCATTGTGTCCCATAGATTTTGGATTGTTGTGTTTTCATTGTCATTTGTGTCCAGAATGATTTTTATTTCTTCTTTGATCTCTCTGGTAACCCAGTCATTGCTTAATAGCATGCTATTTAGCCTCCAAGTGTTTGATTTTTTTCAATGTTTTTATTGTAGTTGATTTCTAATTTTATGCCATTGTGATCTGAGAAGATGCTTGCTATGATTTCTATTCTCTTGAATTTGAAGAGACTTTGCCTGTGTCCTAATATATGATCTATCTTTGAAAATGTCCCATGTGCACTAGAGAGGAATGTATATTCTGTAGCTATGGGGTGAAATATTCTGAAGATGTCAATTAAGTCCATCTGATCTAGTGAGTCATTTAGGGTTGCTGTTTCTTTGCTGATTTTTTGTTTAGAGGATTGATCCAGTGGTGTCAGTGGGATATTAAAATCCCCTACTATGACTGTATTGCTATTGATCTCTCTCTTGATGTCTTCCAGAAGTTGTTTTATGTATTTGGGTGCTCCTGTATTGGGTGCATATATGTTTACCAGAGTTATATCTTCTTGTTGAATTGCTCCCTTTAGTATTATGTAGTGGCCTTCCTTATCTCTTGTTATGGCCTTTAATTTAAGGTCTATTTTATCAGATATATGTATTGCAACCCCAGCTTTTTTCTCATTTCCATTGGCCTGAAAAAATTTTTCCATCCCTTCATTCTTAGTCTGTGTGAATCCTTTGTTCTGAGGTGGTTCTCTTGAAGACAGCAAATATATTTGTCATGTTTTCTTATCCATTCAGCTACCCTATGTCTTTTAATTGGAGCATTTAATCCATTTACATTTAATGTTATTATTGAAAAGTACTTGTTTGTGGTCATTTTTATTCTTAATGTTTGTGTTTCTTCTTGTCTTTCTGTTTCTTCTTTTTACAGCATTCCCTTTAGTATTTCTTGCATTGCTGGTTTGGTGGTAATAAACTCTCTTAGCCCTTTTTTGACTGTGAAGCTCCTGATTCCACCTTCAATTTTGAATGATAGCCTTGCTGTGTATAGTATTCTTGGATTCATTCCCTTGCTTTGCATCACTTTGTATATTTCATTCCATTCCCTTCTTGCCGGGTGTGTTTCTGTTGAGAAGTCAGCTGATATTCTAATAGGAGATCCCTTGTAGGTAAATTTCTGTCTCTCTCTGGCAGCCTATAAGATTCGTACTTTGTCATTGGTGTTTGCCAATTTAATTATGATGTGTCTTGGTGTTGGTCTTTTGGGGTTCATCTTGTTTGGCACTCTATGTGCTTCTTTGACTTGTGTAGTTTTTTCTTGCCAGTATCAGCGAAGTTTTCTGTCATTATTTCTTCAAACAGGTTTTCTATTCCTTGCTTCTCCTCCTCTCCTTCTGTTACCCCTATTAAGCGAATATTGTTCCGTTTTGCTTTGTCCCAAAGCTCCCTTAGGCTCTCCTCTTGCTTTTTAAATTTTTTTTTCCAGTTGCTCCTGTGTTTGTTTGTTTTTTCCTACCTTGCCTTCTAATTCGCTGATGCGGTCCTCAGCCTCTTCTAGTCTACTGTTTAAGCCTTCCATTTTGTTCTTTATTGCAGCTATGTCGTTCTTCATTTCCTCTTGGTTCCTTTTTATGTTGGTGACATTCTCATTCAGCTCCTTATAATTCTCATTGAGTTGTGTGTATTTGTCATCCAGCCGTTTGAGCATCCTTATAACCATTACTCTGAATTCTTTCTCTGATAAGTTAGTAGCCTCAATTTCATTTAACTCCCTTTCCGGTGATTTCTCTTTTTCTTTCCTTTGTCGTTTGCTTTTTTGTCTTACCATGTTTTGCTGTAATGTTTTAACTGTAGCTCTGATTGCTTTGCTACCCAGTTTCTTTAGGGTTTGGTCCTACTGGTGTGACCTCTCAGGTCTCCTGGGCTTGGTAGTCTAGTGTAGCTCCCTACTTGGGCTATTTGGGTTCTCTTGATGTAGGCCTGTGAGCTGGAAAGGGGCAACTAGATGTCTAGAAGTCAGCAGCCATGGAGGGGGTGTTCCAATTTTTGCTATCTTATGCCCTTGGTTGAAATCACGCATGCCCGCAGGGACTCACAGTGGCGCCCAGGAACCGTCTATTGGGGTGGTGGGGCTCAGGAAGCCTGCGTTCTGGCAAAGCATGACTGTGGTGTCCAGAGTTCTGTAGTTGTGGGGTGGGCAGACTCAGCTATTGCTGCTGCCTCCGTGGTTGAATACACGCGATTCTAGCGGCTGCTCACAGAGGCACCTGTGGTGTGTTTGCCAGCAGGGTGTAGTGACACACTCTGAAGGGCCCTGGCGCTGAAGCCACTGGATTGCAGTGTCTGTGGGCAGGTAACCCAGAAGAGGGAATTCAGCGTTTCTACAGCCCAGCAGTGCACCTCTGTTTGTTTAAGTGCATGACCAGCAGGGCTCGCAGTGGGGCCCCAGGGCTGCCTGTGGAGCAGTGGTCTTGGGAGACCTGCACGCTGGAAAAGCATGCAACTGTAGTGTCCAGAGTTCTGCAGCTGTGGGGTGGGGAAACTCAGATTTTGCTGATGCACCTGTCGTGGATAGGCTCGCATTCCCCGTGGCGGCACACAGGAGCACCCGCAGTGAGTTTGCTAGCGCAGGTACACTGAAGCACTCTGAAGGGCCCTGGCACGCTTTGGGCAGGTATCCAGGATGGGTGAATTCAGAATTTCTACTGCCCAGGGGAGTGCGTCCTTATTAGTCCAAGATTGGACCCAACAGAGGCTCACCGCTCCTTCCCCAAAGTGCCCTGTGGATAGGTGGGCTCAGGGGGAGTGAGCAACTGTGGCAGTGCAGTTCCCTGGCACTAAGCTCTGATGCACTCCGAGGGCCCCTGGCGCTGAGGGGCCCTGGCGCTTAAGTTGCACAGCTGGGTGTGTGGGGGCAGTTATTGAGGCAGAGGGAATTCAGAATTTCTTCCGGGGGGGCAGTGCACCTGTGTCTGTACAAAATCACACCCAGCTGAGACTCCCAGTTACTCCTAAGAGAAGTCTATGGAGTGGTGTGCCTGGGAGACCTGCATGCTGGAGACACACAAAAGCGATGTTGGAGGTCTGCAGCTGGGGAGGGGGTGGCTACACTTACTGCTGAGGGCTTGGTGGAGGTCCCAGGGTCTGAGAGTCTGCAGGTGTGGCTGCAGGATTTTGGCTGGAGTGGCTGCGGGGTCGAGGGGAATGTCCAAGGCCTGTCTGGGTGGTGGTGCTGCTGAGTTCCTAGAAGAGGCCCCTCTCCCCTTTAAGATAGTGTGGGCTCCGTGCCAGAGTCCCACAGTCTGGGGAGTGCCACAGAGTTGGTAGTCTCTCTGTGTCCCAGAGAGCCTGGTCTGTCAGCCTCTGCTGCTCCTGCCGGATTTAACTGTCCCTTACTCACTCACTCACACACACACACACACCACACATCCACACACTCTCCTTTCATCCCCTCACTCACTCACTTCCTATCCCTCACCTCAGTCCTGCCAGCCGCCATCTTGGATACTCTTCCCCCTAACACTTTTTTATACAATATCTGAAGTTGATTGACTCCCCCCTAAATATTTTGCTGATATATCTTTCAGTGCTAGGTTTAACACAAAATGAGCTTATGGAATAGAACCTCAGTTGTAGCGGAAACAAAGAAAACACTTTTTGTGTTTGGTTTGTTCATATTACTAATGCATCTGATCTGAAAGATGGTGAAAGTAAATTTCAACCTGTCCTGAAATTGGCCAGAGCCTTCCATATGGAATGTAATGTTGTCAATTTCATTTGCAGTATACTATCAGCCATACACAACTGGAAACAAGAACACTGCAGCTCTCAGTCTGGCATTATGATCGATTTGGACATAACAGCTTCCTTGGGGAGGTGGAGATTCCTTTTGACTCATGGAACTTTGAAAATCCAAGTGATGAGTGGTTTGTACTTCAGCCCAAGGTAGGAAATGCTTCCAGATTAGTCAAACAATTATGCAATGAGTCAAGTTATGAGTCACATTGATGTCTTCCAATTTTCAAGGGATAATCTGAAAAATTAGTAGTACAGCTAATTTTGGAATCATGTAATAAATGTAAATATATTCTTTTGTAAATCTTTATTCAATGCAATGCAAACCACATAATCATATATATTATTGCAAACCACATAATCATATACATTATTGCAAACCACATAATCTATATATTATAATATGCTTTACTAAAAATGTATCATCATTTGGAGGTCTCTATTGATAAAATAAATACATGATATGATCCTATTTGAAAGAGAACACATTCATTTTCACATAAACAAAAACAAATCCATAGAGCAAGATCAGTGTCAAAACATTCTCTCTATCCCCCATTCTTTATAATTCAGACATAAACAGGAGTTGTCTTACCTTGGCTCACATGAGGAAGTGACCAATAGCTAATGTATCTAGTTTCCTACTTTCCTACTTTTGAGATTCATAACCCAGGACTTGAGTTATAGTCAGAGAAATAATCTCAAGTCTGGTTCTAGAAATTGATAATATAGTATGTTCTAAACTACCTTGGATTCATTCAATGCAGCTGGAGTCCTTCTACAGGTAGTCAAGAGTAAAGTGAAAAAAAAGATCATATTTACATAACCAAACATTTTTCTTTATATAGAAAGACAAAAGAAGAAGAAAAAGCATGATAGTAAAGATAATGGACTCAAATGAAAATTCCTGAGTTTAATCCTGGTAGCTTCATGATTGTCTGTGTGAACTTGGGTAAATTCCTTAACTTCCCAGGCTTTGGCATTCTCATTTGTGATATAATAATTTGACATAGCTTATAGGGATGCTGCAAGGTTTGAATATGCATTTTATGTGCTGCTCGCAGTATTGTGTCTGGCACATTGTAAACTCTCAATAAATGCTAGGTAATATCTATATTATATCACAGTACCCTTATTGCAATTGACAGATACCCAACCCATACTGCTCAAAAAGGAAAAGGAAATTATTGGTCAGTGATTATCAAGCATGACTTGATCCACTTCTCTGTGTTGACTTAATTTTCAAACTTCATACAGTATTTGCTTTCTTCACTAGCTCCAGGTATGTTTCTTTTGGACACTATACAATTTCAAGCCTCCCATCCTAGCACCACACTGTCTAAAAGAGGAGGGAGTTCCTCCTCCTCCAATAGTCTAACCAATACCCTGGGCCTGGTTATCCTAATCCTAGATTATTTGCCCATCCTGAGATGACACTGTGGCCATAGAAGTGAGCTACGTTGACTGGTTTAAGACAATCAGAACACATCCTGGTCCTAAAGGTGGTATTGCCCCAGAGGAAATCCAGGTATAGTAGTACTAAAGGAACGGTGAGTGGATGCTAGACAGGAAAAAGCAACGGGTATCAACAATAACAAATGTGAGAGAGTGACCAAGATGGCGGCATAGGTAAACACCGGAGATTGCTGCCGCAAACAACCACTTCAAAAATACAACCACAGAAAGGCTGGCTGAGGAGAGATTCTTCAACTAGAAGGAAAGAGAACAGCATACCGAGGCTCAGAGGAGGCGCAGTGTGGAAAATACAAAGGTAGGGAGGTGCGCGTGGAGCCGGCTGGTGGCTGAGGGCGCGGTTGTCGTTTTCAATCAGGAGGGAGTCTCAGACTCTGAGCTCCAGATCCGGGCGAGTCTCTAGGGACTCAGACTCAAACGGGAGAAGCGGGATTGTCTGGCATCAGTCGGAACATGAGGGCAGCTTTCTCTCCAAGGTTTGCAGCGGTTGCTGGGGTTCTGAGAAGCAGAGCCGCTGGGAACGGGACTGAGAGCAGCCATAACTGCTCCCTCCACCCGCCCTGTTGATCCCCTGTGACCTGACCCGTCCAAGCCCTGCGCAGAGCCATTTGCCGGATCGCCTCAGGCAAAGGCTAGATTAGCACCTCTCCAGAGGACAGAAGTTTTCCCACGGCAGACACAGCTGATTCTCACAGCCAGTCGGCCTGGTGGTCAAATCCCTCTAGTATTAACTACAACAATCAAGGCTTAACTAGAACAAGACTGCGCACAAAGACCACAAGGGGGTGCACCAAGAAAGCAAAAAAACATGACAGAAATGGAGGATATAGAGCTAAAAAACGCACTTTTGAGGGTTTTCAATAATTTGCTAGAAACTGCCGATAAACTTGATGAGAACCTCAAGAAATCTAATGAGACCCTCGATGTTGTGATAAAGAACCAACTAGAAATTAAGCATACACTGACTGAAATAAAGAATATTATACAGACTCCCAACAGCAGACCAGAGGAGCGCAAGAATCAAGTCAAAGATTTGAAATGTGAAGAAGCAAAAAACACCCAACCGGAAAAGCAAAATGAAAAAAGAATCCGAAAATACGAAGATAGTGTAAGGAGCCTCTGGGACAGTTTCAAATGCACCAACATCAGAGTTATAGGGGTACCAGAAGATGAGAGACAGCAAGATATTGAAAACCTATTTGAAGAAATAATGACAGAAAACTTCCCCCACCTGGTGAAAGAAATGGACTTACAGGTCCAAGAAGCGCAGAGAACCCCAAACAAAAGGAATCCAAAGAGGACCACACCAAGACACATCATAATTAAAATGCCAAGAGCAAAAGACAAAGAGATAATCTTAAAAGCAGCAAGAGAAAGAGACTCAATTACCTACAAGGGAATACCCATACGACTGTCAGCTGATTTCTCAACAGAAACTTTTCAGGCCAGAAGGGAATGGCAAGAAATATTCAAAGTGATGAATACCAAGAACCTACAACCAAGATTACTTTATCCAGCAAAGCTATCATTCAGGATTGAAGGTCAGATAAAGAGCTTCACAGATAAGGAAAAGCTAAAGGAGTTCATCACCACTAAACCAGTATTATATGAAATGCTGAAAGGTATCCTTTAAGAAGAGGAAGAAGAAGAAAAAGGTTAAGATACAAATTATGAACAACAAACATGCATCTATCAACAAGTGAATCTAAGAATCAAGTGAATAAATAATCTGATGTACAGAATGAACTGGTGATTATAATGAATCAGGGACATAGAAAGGGAATGGACTGACTATTCTTGGGGGGGAAAGGGGAGTGGGAGATGGGGGAAGAGACTGGACAAAAATCGTGCACCTATGGATGAGGACAGTGGGTGGGGAGTGAGGGCAGAGGGTGGGGCGGGAACTGGGAGGAGGGGAGTTATGGGGGGAAAAAAAAGAGGAACAAATGTAATCTGAACAATAAAGATTTAATTAAAACAAAAAAACAATAACAAATGTTTGGGTATCAACAATAACAAATGTTGATCATCATCAATAGCAGCATTGTTCACATCTAATGGTTACAACAACCATTGTGAGCTAAGTATCATAATCCTCATTTTATATAAGGAGATTGAGACCCAGAAATTAAATACAACTTTCTAATGGGATTTTATAAATTTTTGTCTCAAACATGGTGGAAATAACTAATGAAAAAAATATTTAGGAGGTATAATTTGGCTGTGAGTAAAATCGACAACAATATAATAAAAATATTTAAACATGAAATAACTGCAAGCCCATGACTAACATAAATGTGATAGAGATACAAAGTACAATAATAACAACAAATGATTCCACAATAGTATAACAGTTTCCTGACAATATTTATGGAAAATATTTGGTCATTACAGCTTTACATTTCTTGGAATTGAATGAAATGACTCACCATAATGGATGGCACTTAATGTGACCTAACAATCTCCTATCACTTCATTCCTTATGTGTATGGGTGAGCATCATAGAATCATAGATAGAAAATGTCTAAGGCATCATATGATGCATGACATAGATGAAGGATGATTAACATGCATTTTAGTACATAAAATCAACTTCTTTACCATAAATTTAACTTTAAAGCATATTTGGGGCTCTTTTGAAATCAGCTTAAAGTATCCTCTGTGCTCAGGTAACAACTTTTCCAGGTAATTACTTTCACATTGCCATTGAGTGGTTTCACTTTCTAATACCATAAGGAGAAGCATCTCTCTGAGCCTGCTCAAGGTAGAAAAGTTCTGATTGTGTTTAATATCTGTTGAACTCAGTTGGTTCTCTGCCAGATGACTTTGGATTCCTTTCACCAAGTTTGTTAGGATTTTTGCCTCCAACCACCTCCACCTGAAACTCTCTTTAGAAAACTGTCCTCGGGTTACTGTGGCTTTTTCCACATGGGCAAAGAGCCAGAAGTTCTTTGTAGTTTATGGATCTCCTGCAACAAGGCAACTCTTAACCAACACCTGATAGGTAAGGTGGAGGAAGGGATCTGAAAACTCAATTCCCTTACTTAGTGTCGGAAAAACTTGAAGGTGTTACTTATATTCCAGAGCACTTCTGCTGGATCAGTCTCTGTCTTTGCCTGGATCCCTCTCTTCCCTGACCTGTTTCTCCCACCCCTTCACTGGATTATCCTGAGAATACTTTCTTAGTCACTTGTATAAGAATCCTCATCTCAGAGTTCACTTCTGGGGAACCCAATATTAAGTTAGTGTCACTAATCCATGTCATCTTCCTCTGCCAAACTTCTTCTGAAACATATGGAGGAAAGGCTGCAGGCTTGCATTACATCCAAAAATGAAGGTGGGGGAAAAAATGAAGGCTGGTATCCTGCTTGGTATGCTGCATCTCACTTCATTAGTGGCTCATCCTCAGGCTGAGCTGCGCTCTGTGTGATGATTAATTATCAGCAGTTTCACTTCATTCTCAATCTCTTCGATCAGTCATTTTGATGCAGTAGTCACTTCATTAGCTGCCATTTGAGCAGCCCCAGAGACTTGATATTTCTTGTAGATTATTCTGCTGAGGAGGTGAAATGTGAGCTACTGGAACTAATTTATTTAGTAATAGAGGATCAGAATTGATAGTCCCCAAGCTTTTGGAAATACAGATATGTTTTCGCAGTGGGGAATACTGGAAAGAC